GGTACTACCAATTCCTATTTAATTTAAAGCAAATTGGGAAGCTTCAGAATTCAGAATAAAACAGAATTTTATTGTAGTTTTGATGAAATGCGCAACCCTCGGCATTAAATCTTAAACAACACGATAAATATCAATAAATGCAACTATGAAATAACAAACACTAATCACATTAAACTAAACACATTAGCAGTCACTTGTAAAGAAGTTAACGTAAAGTGCACGAATAGACAATCCCTGACCTAGACAATTGCTCCTCATCAATAGTCATAGCACCTATCTTTTGATGTCATCAGGTAAAAATAGATTTTAGCTGGTCAAGCTCCAGCAGTACCCCAACACACACTCTGGGGTTGGCTTAGCTCTTGCCAACCTGCGACTAATACTTTCCAGATTTAGGTAAGCAGAAACCATCACTCCAGGGAGTGAATGCGCTTTCTATTCCAACAATCTATCACTTGAATTTCCACGTGTAAGTGGGATTCATGTAATCTCACCTTGGTTTGGATAATCTTAAGCATGGTGATGAGTTTCTGCATGTGTGAGACACCCGGCTGATTAAAAAGTTTTAAAAGCAACGTGCAGGATTTTCTTTCCCTGAACCAGTGTGCCATCTTGTGGCGAAAAGAAGTAACCCATTACTAAAACTCCCACCTATAAAATGACCTTAAAACCACAAGTCTTGAAATTTGAGATAACTCAAAATTCTTAAATTCAGTCTTACTGGAAGTTGCTTTGATAAACCTGCAGGAGTTGTTTTAAAATGACCTGTCAATTCTAAAATGTGCTTCAAATTATGAAACTATCAATGAATGTGTAGCATTTCACAGGTCACATGATTATTAGAATGATGTTTCTTGTATCATAAAAATAAACTATCACAAAATTGTAGTTGCATTGATTACAGCTCAACAAAAAGCTTTATTTTAGGGACATATCAATTTTCTTTCTCTATGTCTCTCAGAAAACAAGGCAATTGAACACTTTGTGTAACGCATGACCAATTTTGTTCTGCATTTTATTTTGAATTCAGTATATTTTGTGAGTGTACTGGCTGCAAATAATTTAGTTTAGCACGGGAAAAAATGCATCCGAATTGTCAACCTGTATAACATGATACAAAAACACCATATACTCTGGATTAAATGCAGGATATTTCAAAAGCTAATAGACCAAAAGTGGTTTGCTGCATCAAAGTACTACAAGCAATGATCCTACATTAGGGTTTAAACTGAACTGACAGAACTACCAGTTAAAGCTGTATTAAATTCTGGGAACACCTTCAGAGGGAGCTGCAAAGTATATGCGATAAATTAAAGAGATGTTGTACTTCTGCACCTTTGCATTGACCTTAAAGAGGTGTGAATGATTACTCTGACAACAGGGATGCTGACAGCACAGCATGTTGCAGGGTCACAGAGCTTCCTTTCTCTCCTCTCCATTCATGTCACAGACCCAAAAATTGCTTTAAAGCCCACGTTCAATACCTGATTCTACACTTGTAGCAGGAACAACAACAACAAATTGCATATATGTAGCTCTTTTCATGTATGGAGGTCGTCCCAAGGCACTGGACTGTGAAGGGTTTGCACCCGAGTTTCAGGTTGGAATCAAGAAGGGTGGTGGTGGGAGAATGACCGAAGGCACGATCAGAGAGGGAGGTCTTGAGACGGGCCTTGAGGGAGGCAAGGAAGTTCCAGAGGGGGCAAAAAAACTGAAAGCCTGACCGCCGATGGCAGGGAAGGGGACATGCACCAAGCCAGTACCCGCTGAGCAGAGGGAGTGGGCGGGTGGTAAGATTTTAGTAGATTACAGAGGTAGGTAGGGACAAGACTGTGAAAGGCTTTAAAAGGCCGGACAATAATCTTCAACTCGCTCCTCTGGGGGTTGGGGAGCAAATGAAGCTGAGCAAGGATGGGGGTAATCAGCTCACGGAGCTTAGTGCGGGAAAGGACACAAGCTACAAAATTCTGAATAATCTACAACTTGTGCAGGGAAGAGTTGGGAGTTGTCGAGCAGGTAGTTAGCAGTCAACCCTGGACATGATGAAAGCATGGATGAGGGTCTTGGCAGCCTGAAGGGAGAGGGAGAGAGAGAGATGGGCAATGTTGCAGAGATGGGGGAAGGTAGAACAGGTCATGGCTTGAGTGTGGGGTTCAAACGATCGTTGAGGGTCCAACAAGAGACCAAGGTTCCTCTAATTCACCTTCCACTTTCCTTGGTCTTGTTGACATTCAACCGAAGAAAATTAGCTCTCATCCAGGAGTTGATGTCCAACAGACATTCTGTCAGGACAGCAGTGGTCCTGGAGTCAAGGTTGGAGACAGAGAGGGAACCCCTCCAATCGGGTTTCCGTGCCGCCCATTGCAGAAACAGTCCTGGTCAAAGTGACAAATGACATTCTACCCATCTGCGACCAGGGATCCCTCTGCTTTCTACTGTTGGGTGTCATCCGCATACATGTGCAAGTTGACCCCATGTCTGCGGATGATGTCACCAAGAAGGAGCATATAGATATTGAAGAGGGGACCAAGGACAGAGCCCTGAGGAACGCTGCAGGAGTCGGTATTTTTAAGAAAGGTAAAAGTAGGAGTAATATCTGCCTTTCTCCAGGCCCCCAGCATTCATTAATCCTATCCTTAAAAAACCCTCTCTGGACCCATCTCTACTCCCCATCTCCAACCTCCCTTTCTTCTCCAAGGTACTAGAACCTGGAGTACCCTCCCAGCTTCGCTCCTTCCTCTCCCGCCACTCCCTTCACAAACCCCTCCAATCGGGTTTCTGTGCCGCCCATAGCACAGAATCAGTCCTGGTCAAAGTGACAAATGACATTCTGCCCATCTGCGACCAGGGCTCCCTCTGCTTTCTCATCCTCCTTGACCTCTCTGCTGCCTTCGACACTATTGACCACTCTATCCCCATTGACCCAGGAAACTATAGACCAGTAAGTTTGCATCCATTGTGAATCAAATTATGGAGACTCTTAAGAATAAAATCACAGAACACTTGGACAGAAATAAAATCATAAATGCCAATGTTTGCCAATATGGGTTCTTTACTGTTTTTCTTTGATGTTGTGACAAGGAAGCTTGATAACGGTAAGGCTGTGGATATTGTATACCTGGAATTCAGTAAGGCCTTTGATACAATTCCTCTGGAGAGGCTGGTATTGAAGGTAAATAAAGCAGGAATCAGTGGAAGTATATTACAATGGATATGTAACTGGTTGACCGGAAGAACCTAGGAGGTGATGGTACAGGAAATGTTATCAGACTGGGAAAGTGTCACCAGTGGAGTTCCACAAGGGTCTGTGTTGGGACCACTTTTGTTTAATAGTTTCATAAATTATCTGGAACTAGGAGTCGTAAGCACAGTGGCTAAGTTTGCAGATGACACCAAGCTAATGAAGGTGGTAGATTGCAAAGCTGAACAAGATAGGTTATAGGAGGATTTGAACATACTTGGGAATTGGGAAGACCAGTGGCAGATGAAATTCAATGTGGAGAACTGTAAAGTACTTCACATGGGGACAAAATATCCAGGAAGGGTCTATTATTTGAACAGAAGGAAAATAATATATATGGAAAATGAAAAGGATCTGGGGGTCCTGAATGACAATAAATTGGAAGCTCTCGCAACAATGCTCTGTGGCAGTGAGTAAAGCAAACCAGATATTGGGATGTATCAAAAGATCAATAGCAAGCCAAAATAGTGGGGTAATTCTGACACTGTATAAATCATTGGTGAGACCGTACTTAAGAGTACTGTGTACAGTTCTGGTTGCCACAATACAAAAAGGAAATGGGAGAAATCAAGAGGATACAGAGAGCAAACAGAATGATTGAGGGAATGGAGGGACTGGACTATGAAGAGTGACTAAGTAAATAGGGCATGTTCACGCTACGAAAAGAGAAAATTAAGAGGACAATATAATTGCTGTCTTTAAAAGATTCTAAAAGGGCTAGATAATGTAGATCATGACAGACTGTTTCAACTAGTACCAGAAAGTAAAACCAGAGGACACAGCCTGTGATTGAAGCGGGGGGAAGGGGGTAAATGCAGAACGAATCTGCAGAAATATTATTTCAGTGAGCGAATAGAAAACCTGTGAAAGAAGCTCTCTAGGGAGATGGTTGAAGCAGGAGGTGTTGATTCCTTCAAACAGATTAGATAACTTTCCTTTAGGAATTAACATTATGAATATAGTACATAGGTAGTTTGGGACATATGTGCATGCGACTGCCAGGAAAGTGGAAGGTGAATTAGATAGAACTTGGTCTTTCTTTCGTCTTGCATTTCTTATGTTCTTATTGCGAAGATGGTGTGACGGAGATAAATCCTGTCCCTGCTTTCTATGGACATAGATGTTCCACTTATGTGTAAAGGAGTGTTTTTTTTTGACGTTTTTAAAAAAATACTTCCACCAATGTAGCTAACAAGGGCTGAACTCCAATAAGCACTCTGAGACGCTGTCTGGCGTGGAGGGCGCTATATAAATCCAAGTTGTTGTTGGTTGGGTAAAATTCCAGCCCTAATTGTTAACATGCTAATGAATCATCACCAGTATATAACTGTGTGCGAGAGAAGCGGGCAAGCTCTGTAGAAGACGACTATAAAAAAGCAATAGCTTCCTCATCAAAATAAAACCAACCTTCCTTTTTGTTGTTAAAACCCTTGGTGCAAGTTTGTTTTCCGGGTGTGACCCCCGCCCAACTGCAGATGGTTATTCTTTCGGTTTTGGTCTTTAACACACCAGGTTGTTCAGTTCTTGACAAAGAAAGGTGAGTTACAAGAGGAACGTGAACTTCTTGGTAACAGTGAGAGGCTGAGTGATTTCGCATTTTTAATTGATATTTCGGGTCATATGAACAATTTCAATTTAAAGTTGCAGGGGAGGAACAAACTGTTTTCAAATCTCGCCAATGATCTTGCTGCATTTAAAATGAAATTAAATCTGTTTGAAGTTCATTTCGAGCAAAACAATCTCAGCCACTTTGAACATGTAAGATAAACTGAAATCAATTTATTATCAAACAAGTACAAATTTGAAAGTCGTTTCCATGACTTCACTGCAGAATCTGACAATGTATCTGAGCTCCCACAAGAGAAGTTAAGTAGACCAAACACTGGAAATGGAAATCATTGATCTAAAGTGCAACTCCATGCTAAAAAGCAAGTTCGAGGAACCCAACCACAGACACCGTGTTGACCTTTTGGAAATTAGAACCACCAGACTTAAGAAGTTTTGCACAGAGTTATATTTGCCGATTTGGCAGCGCCTATTTTGTGAGCATAACTTCTCAACAATAAAAATCATTAAAAATACCAATTGTGATTGACAGATGAGAATCTTACCAAACTTGTGCAGTTGGCCACATCTCAACAGCAGCGAGAGATTGATAAGCTAGTGGGGAAGAAGAAATTGTAAAAATCACACTAGTCTTAAGTAAGTCTGTAGATAAAGCAACATTTTGCTTCCAGTAGCTACTGAGTAGCAACGTTTATGGTATGGCCCCTGTGGCAATCAAGAAAAATATGTTTAGCTCTCATCAGAAAAGGGTTGGCTACCACTGGCATAGCAGAATGACATGGTTTCATCACATTCAGCAATAGTACTGAGGCACCTAGTGGAACAAAATAAAACTGTCCCTTTTCACATATTGTAATAGTGCAAGAGATGCCAACTTGTAACAATTTAGCAATTATGTTTAACTACCATTTAAACATGTTACAGGTTAAAATCACTGTTTCCTTCTTTTTTTGACTTTTGGTTCTGGTGTACAGTCAGTGGGCTCTGAAGCTCGCTCAGAATGTTTTCTTTTCTTTTTTTAGTTGGTTTGTCACAAGAGTCATTTGTTTGGATTTCAGTTTCTGCGTTTGGTTTCTCCTCCTTAGCTCTCTTTTTCTTTTTCTTTTTGGATTTTTTGCCATTTGTTTTATGGACTCCATCTTCCAACAGGCTCAAATCCATAAGCTCAACTGTTTCGCTAGCCTCTTCAGGTGTGTCTTGGGTGCTGAATTCTTCATCATTCTTCCTTTTGTGTTTCTTTTTCTTCTTCTTCTTCTTTTTACCAGGCGTTTGATCAGCAGTGTGATTGTTGCCGTTTTCTAATGGTGTTTCATTGCTGTTGTTTTCTAATGTTTTTTCAGACTCCACATTGTATTCTGCCTGCACACTGCATTCAAAGAAAGAAGTTACAGATGACCAGGGAATCAATACATATCAAAATATTAACTTTGGTGGTGGCCAAACTCTGAGTGATGTTTTCTGAATATATTCTATACGGCATTACAGGCTAAGAATTTCAGGCCTCGGTTTCTTCTGAGTGAGACTGCCAACTTAATGCAGTCACGGCATTTGAACCCACTGAGCATTCATAGACACCAAGAACTAGATTGAACAAATTTAATCTGTGTAGACATTTTCATCCCACTAACGTGTGTTAAATTGAATCCAAAATGAAAAGCCAGTGTCTAAACCAATGATAGAGCCAAATGCAAATTTCTAGAAATATGTTCTACAGTTTATTTTTGTGCTTCAATCTCAACCAAATCTTCCAAGAGCCCAAATATACATGTGCTGCAAAAAAGTAATATAAGTGGTTTACTTATTCCCCATAAAAATTTCCATTTCGCAATAGAAAATTATATAAGCTTTTGGAGTTGACAAATTAACTGTGACTTATTGAGGCCCGCAGTCATTTCACAATGAATAGACGGTTATTGTGAATTGGATTCTGTAAAATAAGCAATATTTGGAAAAACATGTGGGGGGATAGAAATCAAGCAATCTTATCGCTAAAATGTTATAGAATTAAAAAATATAATGACCCTTAATTATCACACTAAATATATGTGATCCTGGGAATTATACATGGTGAGATTTGTTTTTATACCATTAAATGTCTAGTTACATTGTGGCAAAACTAATATCCCCCCATCAGTAGTGTTCTCCGCTTGGAATATTTCACATTATAGATGTCTCACAATATAAAGTTACCTGTTTGGATCCAACTTTCCTCGAATGCACAGCACACCAACGACGTCAGCATCCAGGTGAACAACTTCAAATTGCAGGTTATTCCCCACCTTTACTTCAAAGCCTGGCCATGTACCATTTTCATGATATGGTTTGGGTATCGAAGCATTAAAACAGCCATGGACCACGCAGCCAAGATGACTTGGGGCAACTTTGTTCACAACACCCTTAATAAGAGATTACAGAAAATAAGATTTATTGATTGATCATATACATACAGAAATGCAAATACATAATATATTCAAAACAAAAAATACAGATTGCATCCACTGCAGACACAAACACTAAGCAAAAGGTCCATATGTTAAATGTCCCTTTTACAGGCTTGATTTGCTCAAAAGCTTCCTACTGATCCAAAAACATTCGCTATCCCAATTCAAACAGGAATATTCCTCTCCCCTCCCACATGACCTCTGTAGTGTTTTACATGCTAGTATGCATTTATCTCTTTATTCTCCAATATGCTTAAGTAACATAAAGTCCAGCTATAATGCACTTCATTTTTATGTGGGTTTTCACTTATAGAATGATTGGAATGTGGACCCCAACATTTACTTACCCAAAAATCCAAACTGCGTGTAGAATGCCCGCTGGCTCGTTACCGCACATTGGCCAGCTTTTCCTATGCTAAATATTGGTTGCCTTCAAAAACACTTCCGTGACCTAATACCTGGACGTCAGCCATTTTTAAGAAAGTGAAAGCCATCTAGCGATTTGAAGCAAGCTAGCTTGCTATATGCTTGTGCAGTGAATATAGAAGCATTAACTGGCAACCGTGAAGTGTTATAATGGTGGTTGGGATTTTATGGGGCCCAAACAACGTGCTACAATACAGCACCACCATGTATATATGTTTTAAAGCTACAATAGTTCTCATTCATCCCTCTTTAATGCCCTATAGAGGAACCCCAGCTGCTAGGTTTGCAGAGAACTCAAATCTCTCCCGTTGCGAGCAAGAGAGTCTCAAGACCAGTTCTGCAAGAGCTTAAACTCAAAAAGTTGTGACTGAGAGACTAGCTGTCAGAGCTACACTGACTTGACTCCCTCAGGTTTTGAAGCCAAATATATAAACTTACCACAAGTTTCTGTCCTTTTTCAGGTTTGAAGATAACAAAGTTTGCTTCTATGTTGACATGTATGTAGCCCTGTTCATCATAGATGCTCCCTAATTCACCTACTAGTTTGACTTCATCGTAGGCAATTGGGACACCCTGAAAACTAATAAATACATTAACTTGTACAAAATATCAAATGTAAAAAGTTCATCCCAATTCAGAAAGCAACAGATGCATGAAAAGGTAATTACATGGCAGTAAGTTCATCACGTGGTTCGGATTCCACCTTAAATTCACAAAATGAATGTTAAAACAATGCACTAACAATTATCTGTTGATATTAATACTCAGCTCTCTAAAATATCAGTAATTCTGTTCTTCAATAAAGTAACTTATGTTAGTGTTTGTCTTTTTAGACATTTTTAAAAGAAAATCTACCCTTTTTGCTTTCAATTTGGATGAAAAAACATAATTACGAAAGATAGCCAAGTTTTTGTTTTGTGGATGAAAATAAAGTTAAAATAAAAGTTAAAACACAACTCCTAGGTGCCAGCCTAGCTCAGCGGGCAGCACTCTTGCTTCCGAGCCAGAAGGTTGGGAGTTCAAGTCCCACAACAAAACGGAGTTCACAGTCAAGGCCGACACTCCATAGCAGCGCTGGGGGCTGTGCTGCAATGTCGTCATTCAGATGAAACGTTAACACAAGGTCCTGTCTCTGCCTGTTCAAGTGGACATTAAGCATTCCATGGCACTATTCAAAAAATGAAAGTACTTTCTCTCATTATCCTGACCAACAATCTCCCCGGTAAATTTACTCATTCACTTAATGGCTGTTTGTGGAACATTGCAATGGGCACAATTGGCTGCCGAGTTTGCCTACAAATATCGTTACTAGACTTTGCAGTAAAATCCTGTGAAATGCTTTGAGATGTCCCAATGACATGATAAGATACTAAGGATTATTATACGTGCACGCAGGAGTGACTTTTGCTCAAGTAGGAACCTGGTTGTTAGTCGATTGGCAGATTTTACTACCCCCGCTTTTCCGGGGGTAGTAATTCCTTCAAAATTAAAAAAAACGGGCCACTCAATCCCAGACTGTTTGTGGGACACTGCTGTGTGCAATTGGTTGCCGAGTTTCACCCACAAAATATACAGTCAATTCACTTTACAGTACATTCTGTGAAGTGCTTTGAGACGTCCTCCCGATGTGAAAAGCGCTATATCAAGTGCAAGGATTATTATTATTAATCAGGAGGATTACCGCCCAGGACATTGGGTGAAACTCCCTTCTCTAGTTCTAGGAGATCTTTAGTTTACAAATTTACAAAATTTAAGTGCAGACAGGAAGAACCTCTCAGAGCGAGTGAGCCCTGTGCACACTTTCTCAAGCAAAATTCACTCCTGTCTGCATATAATAATTTAGTGTATTATCACATCGGTGAGAGGTCTCAAAGCACCTCACAGGATTTAACTGTGAAGCCTGAGGATAATAATAATCCCTGTATTGGATATGGCGCTCTCTCATGTCTTCGAGACGGCTCAAAGGGCTTAATACTGCGAAGTTAATTGACTGTATATGTTGTGGGTGAAACGCTGCAGCCGGTTGCGGACAGCAGCGTCCCACAAACAGTGGTGGATGGAAGTGACCAAATTATTATTTGCTTTTGAAAAAAAAACTGGAAGGGAACTGTGGATGGGCAACGGTCAAATTAACCTTCCCCTGAGGGGCCGCTGTCTGTCCTCCTGATCCCCTGCGAACTCAGGACAGACCACCCCCTCCCCCCTACACCAGGCCTGGGGCAGCCTCCCCCCCCACCACACCAGGCCTGGGGCAGCCTCCCCCCCCACACCAGGCCTGGGGCAGCCCCCCCACCACACCAGGCCTGGAGCAGCCCCCCCCCCCCACCAGGCCTGGGGCAGCCCCCCCACACCAGGCCTGGGGCAGCCTCCCCCCCCCCCCCCACACCAGGCCTGGGGCAGCCCCCCCCACCACACCAGGCCTGGGGCAGCCCCCCCCCCCCACACCAGGCCTGGGGAAGCCTCCCCCCCCCACACCAGGCCTGGGGAAGCCCCCCCCACACCAGGCCTGGGGAAGCCCCCCCACCCCAGGCCTAGGGCCTCCCCCCCACACCAGGCCTGGGGCAGCCCCCCCCCTCCACACCAGGCCTGGTGCAGCCCCTCCCCCCACACCAGGCCTGGGGCAGCCCCCCCACACCAGGCCTGGGGCAGCCCCCCCCCCCACACCAGGCCTGGGGCAGCCCCCCCCCCACACCAGGCCTGGGGCAGCCCCCCCCCCCACACCAGGCCTGGGGCAGCCCCCCCACACCAGGCCTGGTGCAGCCCCTCCCCCCACACCAGGCCTGGGGCAGCCCCCCCCCCCCCCACACCAGGCCTGGGGCAGCCCCCCCACACCAGGCCTGGGCAGCCCCCCCCCCCACACCAGGCCTGGGGCAGCCCCCCCACACCAGGCCTGGGGCAGCCCCCCCACACCAAGCCTGGGGCAGCCCCCCCACACCAGGCCTGGGGCAGCCCCCCCCCCCGGGCCGGGCCGCGCTCCCCGTCAGCCGGACCCACCTCTCGGAGAATCTGAGCAGTTCGGTCCTCAGCTGCCTCTCGATGCCCGTCCTCTTGCGCTGCAGGTACATGGGGGACAGGGCGAGGTGCCGCCGGCGGGTGTCCAGCACCAGGCACGAGTAGGGGCTGTGCAGCAGTGCCCGGGCCTGGGCGAAGGAGAGAGGGGCGGCGGCGGCCACCCGGGGCCCGGGGAGCTGCCGCTTCCACTTGGGCCTCTCCCCCTCCTCCTCCTCCTCCTCCCCGAGGCCACCGCTCGCCATACCGCCGGTCCCGCCGCCGACCACGCCGCCGGTCCTGGGCTTCCGGGGGAGAGCAACGTGTTGCCGCAAACTGCTGTGAAACCACGACCTTTCCGGTCTCCCCTCCTCTCCTCTCCCCGGGGTTACACTAGGGGGCGCTGCTGCTGTCAGCCTCAGTGGGCTGTGCTGGGTGGGCTGTGCTGGGCTGTTGGGCTGTGCTGGGCTGTTGGGCTGTGCTGTGCTGTTGGGCTGTGCTGGGCTGTGCTGTTGGGCTGTGCTGTGCTGTGCTGTTGGGCTGTGCTGGGTTGGGCTGTGCTGGGTTGGGCTGTGCTGTTGGGCTGTGCTGGGTTGGGCTGTGCTGTGCTGTTGGGCTGGGCTGTGCTGTTGGGCTGTGCTGGGTTGGGCTGTGCTGTTGGGCTGTGCTGTTGGGCTGTGCTGGGTTGGGCTGTGCTGTGCTGTTGGGCTGTGCTGGGTTGGGCTGGGCTGTGCTGGGTGGGGTGGGCTGGGTGAGTTGGGCTGTGCTGGGTGGGCTGTGCTGGGTGGGTTGGCCTGTTGGGCTGGGTGGGCTGTGCTGGACTGGGTGGGCTGGGTGGGCTGTGCTGGACTGGGCAATAGCTCTCACTGCTCTCATATTCCATATTACTTACTTATAGATACATCCCTACAAGCGCCTTGTCAGGCCGGGAGGGAGGATGTCTCAAAGCGCTTCCCCTGATTTACTATGAGATGGAGTGACTGTATCAAGCGCTCCGGGATGCTACCGTGTCAAGGGCGCTTTGTAAATGCAAGTTGTTGTTGTAGTTTGGAGGCAAACTCAGCTGATCCAACTTACTAAGAGTAGTGTAAGTGTTTAGTGGGGGTGCGGAGGGTGTCTTCTTGAGCCCTGTGGGTCACTTCCTACCTGCAGGTCACAGGTTGGTCACTGTTGGCATAGACTATTGCGAGATCTAAGTCCTAGCGTGGGACTTAAAGCCACAACCTTGTAATTCAGGAGTCAGAATGCTACCAATTGAGCCAGGCAGACACACAATGTCGCCCAGTCTTAGACTCTTAACATCAATTTTTTCTTAACATTTAAGAATATTAAGAGTTGTAGAAAATACTTAAAATTAGTCTTAATCAGCTCCTGCCTCCAGCTCAGGTGCCCTCATTCAATGTCAAGCACTTTAAGAGGTCCTCCCGCCGAGAAAGGCGCTATATAAATGTAAATTGTATTGTAATAATAATCCTTTCATTTGAAATAGCCCTTAACCATATCATTAAGACCTCTCAAAGCACTTCACAGGAATTACTGTAAAGTGGATTGACTGTATTTTGTTGGTGAAACACAGCTTGTATTTGGTTAAGGAAACGTGAAATAAAAGTATTTTTTAATAGAAAACATATTTAATTAATTTCCTTTTTAATTTGTGCTTTAACCTACAATAGGGGACTGTTTTGGTAGGTTGGTACATTAATATCAGACAGACTGGCTATCAGGTGCTGGGCATGTTCACCATGGTCACTCCTCTTCATATTCGTCACTAGAGAGCAGTACATATCAGCAAACAGTAAGTATCGTGGGAAAGTAAAATGTAACACACAACACTCAGCTAAGAACTAGATCATTAGAGAGGTTTAGATGAAGAAGGCCCTTCCACCCATTTGACCTCGTTCTTCCAGAATACCCTATTGTTCACCCATCAAGGCTTCAAGCTGTTTTGTAAATGAGTTCTGCATCTAAGACTCAGCCATTCTTCCTGGCAACATGTACCAGTTATTAATAACACAATAGATTAAAAAAAAACTCTGAATACAGAAATATAAATAATGATTGTCAAATTTGTATCAATATGTAACATTGTCAGATTCATTCCAATATTCCAACCATAACAAACAGAATGTTTTTCCCTCCAGGTGCGGTGTTTGCAAATTTATTGGCAAATTTGTAGGGAGTAATTCAGCTCCTCCCTGGAATCTATATTTTCTCTGAGTTGATGATACCCTTACAGTATTCAAACATCTCCCAAGAGTATCCCATGCACTGTGGTGTACTTTTTCTCTGCCACTGTATTGTATTATTGTATAAATATCTTTAATAATGCTGAATAATCTTTTTGAATGTTTTTTTAAAAAAAATTCATGGGCTGGGTCCATTCTTACTAACCGTTCATTCTCTTAGTTTACTTGGCCCCAGGATGATAACTGTTTGTCAGCACCCGATAGATAAATTCAACTGGTTTTACATTAGCAGTGACACTGATCGATGTGTGCAAAATCAGTTAGCGGATTAGTATTCCGAAAGAGGCTTTCACTCTCACTAACTGCCATTCGACAAGTCATTTTGGTTGCGTTCTACTACTAACACCTAAGAGATGAAAAAAATAGGAAGCAACTCATCTTTATTAATTGCATTTAATTTGATGTCCCAACTTTTGTCGCAAAGATCTACAATTTAGGTAAACTCGAAGAAACTTCCTGTCTTAATTTGTTCCCTCACAATGTAATAATAGTATAGCTGCACTATGGTGTATAATAAATTACTTTTCAATTAATTGTGCTCAGTGAATTCAGATATAGTGAATTGGGGTTGAGCCTTAATGGTTGTTCTGGTAAAATAAACTTAAGAATAAGACATTTTAATCTGTATATGACAGTGTGTGATTTAAAATGACATGTAAACAATGCTCTGCTGTATATTGCATGAAAACAAAGATTTAAAAAAACAAATCCTTGCATTTGATAAACAGCAACAAAAACAAAATTACATTTGTATGGCCTTTCACGTCGGGAGAATGTCCCAAGTCGCTGGACAGTCAGAGTTTCGGACCTGAGCTGGGGGTCAGGTTTGGGGAGTGGGGAGGGTGGAGGGCAGTGAAGGAAGCAGGGTGATTTGATAGCACGATTGAAGAGGAAGGTCTTGAGATGGGTCCTGAATGTGGCAAGGGAGGGGGCTCGAAGCCGAGGTACTGTGGGATGGAGTTTCAGAGGGTGGGGGCAGAGTGGCAGAAGGCCCACCCATCAATGGTGGGGCAGGCGAGGAGGGGAACGTGAAGCAGGCCAGAGCCCGCTGAACGGACGGCGCGGGCAGAATGGTAGGTTGTTAGGAGGTCGCAGAGGTAGAGGGGAGCAAATACAATGGAGGCTTTGAAGGATCTTGAACTGTATCCTCTGTGATGGGAAGCCAGTGGAGTTGGGTGAGGATGAGGGTGATAGGGTCACAGAGGCTGGTGCGGGAGAGGATATGGCCTGCAAAGTTCTGGATAATCTGCAGCCTATGGAGGGAGGAGTTGGGAAGGCCGACAAGCAAGGAGTTGCTAGAAAGTGCTTATAGCATCTGTACATCTCAAAGTGATTTACTGATATTGGTTGTTGTATTGATTTTACCATAAGATTACTTAATTCAATTATCTTCAATTAATTTACAATTCTATGAATTAAAGTTCTGCTGATGAAGCTGCATTGATAACTGAGGATGTGTTATGCTGTTCAATTTTAGGTGTCAGTCTGGTTCGGTAAGGAACACACTCACTGATGAGTCAGAAGGTTGTGGGTTCATGCACCATGTTGGGACATGAACCAACTATGTTGAGACAAGATCACAAGATTAGTCTGAATGAAGAAGGCTTTCGGCCCATCTGATCTTGGCCCCTCCAGAACACCCACCCTACAGTCCCACAGTCCAATTTACATATATATAGTGCGGGAGACATTCAAAGTTTTTGACATTGCTGACTGGGTAGCTCAGCGGGAGGAGGGAGCTGAAGGGACTGTGAAGAAAGATGGCTGAAATACAGGGTGACCAAAAAGTCTTATTTTTCAGCTACCCAATCATCTAAAAAATTATATCATCATTTCTTTAAGACTTCTTAAACATTGTGATGGTATCACAACTTTTTGGTCACCCAGTAGAAAGGTTATATCTTGAAAGGTCTACTCGTGAATTTTAAAAGGTTAATTTTTAAAAATATTGTCATTTTTATACATAAAACAGCCTTCTGTTCATATATGGTTAGCTGTGAACCTGCAGAATCAGCTGCAACCAATGTGATGAAGCGTGGTGAAGCATAAATTCATTTTCCTGCTCTATTCCTGGAACTGATATTATTTTGTCTGCAATAGTAAATCAAAGCATGTCAAAAATAATAAAAATACTAATAATTGTTGTATTTGATATTGTTTCTGCAATATCAAAAATGTCTCCAGCACTTTACTAATAAATGCTGTAAAGTGTATTTGTAGGACAAACTGGAAGTTATCCTGTCTGAAGGACACTGTAAAAACAATTAATTCATCTGGGTATTGGTGATCAGGACACAGGGAGAAACTCCCTTGCTGTTTCAAATAGTACCATGGGATCTTTAACATCCATCTGAACCAGCAAACAGGACTTTGGATTAATGTCACATTAAAAGGAGAGTACCTCTGACAATGTAATGCTCCTCCAGTATTGCATTGGAGTTTTAGGCAATGTTCTCCATATTGATTTTCCCTCCCAGCCTGGTATGTTCCACCACCATAAAATGCCCCATCTTTTATCCCGGCTTTCTTTGAGTAGAATGTTAATTATTGGACTTGAAATTGAAGCATCATTTTAAAAATATAGGCATTTTAATACATAAAACTGCCATCTGTTCATATATGATTAGCTGTGAATCTGCAGAATCCTCCTCAGTCAATGCGATGAGGAATGGGAAGAATCAATGGGAACAAGAATTCTTTCCACTCAGCTCCTTTTAACCCTGAAGCCAAAACTGTAATTGGAATAGAGTGATCCTGACTGGACAAACAGAGGGGAAAGCTTGCCAGACAGTGCTTTCAATGCTAAGCTATATGATTTTAGCTGATTAGGCTCCAGATTTACCCCAACACACTCTGCAGTCCCCAAGCCTTGGTTCTTGCCAACCTGTGCCTAATACTCTCTGCAATTAGGTAAGTAGGATGCATCCCTTGAGTGAAAAAGTGGTCATTCCAATCCAATAAATATCTGGAATTTCCATGTATAGGTGGGATGCATGTATTGGAGTCCTGTAACTCAGTGGTTAGAGCACTCGCTTTGCAAGTGAGAGACCTGAGTTCAATTCCAGGCAGGTCAGGGTGAAACCTTGGGCAAGTTTCCTTACTCCACACACCTAATAATAATCCCTCCAAAACAAACAATAATAAATTGGTAATTTTCAATCTACGACTGTTTGTGGGACATTGCTGTGTGCAATTGGCTGCCGCGTTCGCCCACAAATATACAGTCAATTCACTTTACAGTGTGTTCTGTGAAGCGCTTTGGGACGTCCTCTCGACGTGAAAAGAGCTATACCAAATGCAAGGATTATTATTATTATAACTCTCAGTTTGTTTGATGCCCCCCCAAAAAAATGTAAGCATTATGATTTAGCACAATAATCAAAAAACAGACATTAGTTTATGTTTTTATTTTTATTACATTGATACTTTACATGATATTCTCACTTGTAACGACAAGGCAGGCAATTTGACATATGATATATAGTTATTAAATATGCTGAGCTAAATGTTTAAAAAGATTGCAGATGCTCTTATCGTAAGAAAATAGTGGAAGAAGAAGGTCCTTGGGCCCATTTTATCTGATCCTTCCAGAATACACACTCCAACATGTTCCCATCACAGTGCGATACTGTTTCTCAAATGAGTCTATGTCCTGGCCTCTATAACCCTTCCTGATTCCCTGTTCCAACCATTGATTACTCTGTATCTGCTCTGAACTGAGACTTGTCAGAATCTGTTTTGAAGACATTGTAATTCATGCTTTAGGGTTCCATTTTTTAAGGAAGGAGAAAATGCAATTTATTCCTGTTGAAAACACATGGATGCAAAATAAAATGTGTAATAATTACATGTTCTTAAACACAAAAGAGACATCAAGATTTACTTAAGCAATATTATGTATATAAATTGTGAATGAAAATAAAGTAATATTTAATTTACAACAGTGATTTTGCTTTGTGCAAAATATGTCTTTAGCACTAGCTTTCACTAACTGTTCAACAATTAGCTCATCCTAATGGAAGTGTCATGATGCTCCTGGAGTCCTGTAGCTTAGTGGTTAGAGCACTCGCTTTGCAAGTGAGAGAATCTGGGTTCAATTCCCAGGCAGGGGGAAACGTTAGCAAGTTTCCTTACTCCACACATATGCCTCTGTTTACCTAGCAGTAAGTAGGAACCCGGTCGTTAGTCAATTGGCAGATCGCTTTTCCGGGGTAATAATTCTTTCATGTGGAAGTTGAATGGCATCACCAAAAAACAAATAATAATTTGGTCAATCAATCCACAACTGTTTGTGGGACACCACTGTGCGCAACTGGCTGCTGCGTTTCACCCACAAAATACACAGTATATTCTGTGAAGTGCTTTGAGACATCTCAAAGATGTGATAAGGCTCTATACCAAATGCAAGGATTATTATTATTATCCTTTTTGATTGTCACTCTCTAAAATAAGTAGCATGATTGAGAACCGTGAAAGTTCAAATGCATCTGCTTTCTGATCATCAGTTTAATTTACATCACAATTTTTATATTGTACTGCCCTTTTTCAAGAAAATGTCTGCCACAAAATCAACAGAAAATATCTGCTACAAAATCATATTCTGTTTTCTCTGTGTACTGTATTTCTGCTGAGGATTGCAGATTTTAGTGAATCATAAGAATCTGGCTGACATACCTTCTGAAATCTCCATCCTATCTATGTATAGGGGAGAATTGCAGCAGTTGATGATTATCACATTGGACAAATTATTAATAATCAATAGTTATTGGTTAGTCACAAGGTCAGTGATACTTATTACTTCTGACCTCATTTTGGTCCATGTAATAAATATCAAATACTGCATTTCCCCCATATTCAGATGCCTGTGCTCATCATCAAAGGGAAATATACCTTTTTCCTGAGTGTCAAAATCAAGAACTCTGTTCAGGTACAGCACAGACAACTGCTGAGCAAGGCTCATTCTGCTTTATCTAAAAAATGAACCTTATCCTCAACATATCTTCGAGCACATTAATAGCTTCATTACTGTTCATCAACAATGATTAAAGAATCTATACATAAGGGGAAAATGGCTATACTGGAAATATTAAATCCTGAAAATACATAACAGCTAGATTAGTATCTTGAGAACAGTAGTTAACATTTTACATGTGACCCTTTATCAGAACACGAATGGCTGGATATGGAGAAATCTATTTTTAGGATTGAAAAGGCAATTAGGACTAGACAATGATGGTTCGATAGTAACCTGGCCTGAAGTCCTTTGCTATGATGAGAGGTTGGGTAGACTGGGTTTGTATTCTTTAGAGCAGACAAGGTTAAGAGGTGATTTTATTGAGGTATTTAGAGCAATGAAAGGAATTCACAGGTTGGATAGTAGCTGACTCTTCGCTCCAGTAAAGGAATTTGTGAAAATAATGATAATAATCCTTGCATATGATATTGCACTTATCACGTAGTGGAGTAATTTCAAAGCACTTCACAGGATACACTGTAAAGTGGATTGACTGTATTTTGTGGGCGAAACTCAGCAGTCAGTTGCGCACAGCAGTATCCCACAAACAGCTATGGAGTGAGTGCTGAATTTTATTTGGGGGATTGCTGGCCAGGACACTGGGAGAATATCGCTTCTCTTTTTGAATGATGCATTAACATCCACCTGAACAGGCAGATGGGACCTTGGGAGAAGGATGGCATCTCCGACAATGCAACGCACCTCCAGCAACTGCATTGAAGTGTCAGCTTAGAGTATGGGATTCCAAGTCCCGACATGGGGCTTGAATCCACAATCTTCTGACTCAGAGGTGAGAATGCTATCCCTGTGGCAGGCTGACACAGACCATTAACCCCGGAAAGCAATCCGCCAATTGCCTAATAACCGGGTTCCTACTGCTAGGAAAACAGAGGCACTTGGAGTGAGGACACTTGCCTAAGGTTTTGCCCTGCCCGGAAATTGAACCTGGGTAATCTCGCTTGCTAGGAGAGCGTACTAACCGCTATGCTACGGGACAAGGGGACCTAACCTTCAAATCAGAACTAAGCGAGTCAGACCTGAGGTCAGGAAGAATTTCTTCACACAGAATGTTGTGAAGATGTAGAATGTTCTGCCCCAGAAATCTGTAGAAGAGGAATCAATAGGGATATTTAAGGAGAGAGGACACAGATACTTGAGTATCATAGAATCATAGAATTATACAGCACAGAAGGAGGCCGTTCGGCCCATCATGTCTGTGCCGGCTCTTTGAAAAGAGCTATCCAATTCAATCCCACTCCCCTGCTCTCTCCCCATAGCCCTGCAAACTTGTCCTCTCCAAAGAGTAGTAAAGCTATTAAAGAGTATGGTTTAAGGGTGGGACTTTGGGATTAAAAGATCTGTCAAGATCTAATAAACTGGTGGAACAGGCTTGGTGGGCTGAATGGCCTCCTCCTATGACTAATAGGAAACTGGATTTTCACATGAGGAAGAAGGAAATAGAAGGGTGGGGGAGGAAATAAGGTGTGGGTGGAGATTAATGTGGACACAATATGAACTAGTTGGGTCATTTCCTTGCTTAACATTCTATGTAAATCTGTGTAAATATATTTTTTTCTATGTTCTGCAAGGAAAACACAATCAAAAATGAATGTTGTTTTTCTATTGTAACTTGAGTTGTACTCTATCCTGTACTACAATTGTTGCTTTTACATTAAGAAACTCAAGGTTTTCTGTTTTCAATTTGTTGCATACAAAATACCTTGCATCTCAAGCACGATGCTCTCACATTAATTAATCAGGGCAACATGACATTGAGTTTGCAAAATGTTTTAAAAAATCATAAACTCCACCGTGTTTTGATGGTATAATGTTTATTTACCATGTCATTTGTTTTGAAGACATATAATAACATTTATAGAAAAATAGTGTTTCATAATATCTTAAATATAGAATTAAATAACAACAAATAGTTGCTATATTGTCTATTTACTCATGTTGTACATGGTTTAGTGCATTCAGCATAGATAAAGTAGTATTGTTTGCATTCCACAAAAATGGCCTTAGAAAATCAATGATCTGTCGAGGACTTTACTCGAAAGCAAAGAATGACTGGGTTGTGCATGCTGCTTAAAAAGTGTGAGTGATGAAGTATGTCTAAATACATTTTTTACATTTTCAGTCCTTGCTTTCTTAGAAAATATATTTTTCAACATCCAACAAAACACAGCTGTTTTGAACCTGATATAAAAGTAATCTTGAAACTTCAACTCTATTATTCAGGGTGGTATCTTCTGAGAAAGCCACTAGCATTCTGCAGGATCCTGCAACAAGGACTTATCAGTGTTCCATTAGCCAGACAGAAAACAATCTCAACTGCAGAATTCTGTTTTATGCTTACAGGATATATTATTAAAACTCACATTCTTCATGCAGAGATGAATTGCTGTAAAAGTTTCTTTCTATAGTATTTTGTTTATCATGATGGTCTTCCATTTTGCATAATTTGTGGTATTCCATTGCCCGTGTTATCTGAGATGTCCTGTAGATAAAAATAATATATGTGGTATATATATTATTATATATATTATATAGAGTATATTTAAAAAACATAAATTGTATTGTGGGGTTTGGAGAAAATATAAAGATATATCATTTTGTGCTTAGTTATTTTAACATTGTAATTTCCACAACCTTTCTATTTTCTGTTATTTCAACATCACCTCTGATGGAGTTATACTGTCATCCAAACAATATTATTAATCTGAGTAAAGAACCACAGCATTTCATAAAATCACAAGAGATGCTCAAAAACAAGTTAATTTGATCTCAATCTTCTAGATTGCTAATTCTACCATCTTCCATTACAGAATCGACTCATTTTATAAAACAAAATTAAATTTTGTAAAATCACAAGAGAGTTTGGATCTTTGGTTCATTTGATTTCAATCTTCTAGATTACTAATTATAACGTCTCTCATTACAAAATCGACCAGTTCCTTAAATTATGTCCAATGTCCTTGCTTCAACCTCTTTCCTTGTAATCTGTCCTAATACTACCCTTCACAAACCTGATCCTTATTTTGTTGCTTTAGCACCCCTGAAAGTACTGTTTTTCTATTCAAAGAAGCAACTTAAATAGTGCTACACAGTCCCCACTGAGAGGCCTTGTTTTGAGGGTGAAGAGCCCTATTGTAATTCCTCATGATAACTCACTCTAATACTGTGATGAGACAAGTTGCTCTTTTCTGCACTGTTTCCAGATCCCAGCCTGGACCCACCGCCCGGATGTTACGATGACCTTGGTATTCCAGATGCAACCTGACCAGACCACTGTGCAATTTGAGTATGACTTCTAGGAATAGAAACTCAATTGATTGGGCAATGTGGACCAGCATCCTATTCATTCATTACTCTCACGTCAGAGGTTGTGAGTTCAAGCCCCATGTCAGGAGATGGAACTCAACTAGTCTAAAGATGACACTCCATTGCAGTACTGGGGGTGTGCTGCATTGTTGGAGGTGCAGTCCTTCATATGAAACGTTAAACCAAGGCCTATCTGCCCAATTAGATGGATGTTAAAGATCCCTTATCACTATTTGGAAAAATAAGGGAGTTTCTCCCGATGTCCTATCCAACAATCTCAAAATAATTGGTCATTTACTACACAGCTGTTTGTGGGACTTTCCAATGTGCAAATTGGCTGCCATATTTGCCCACAAATATGCAATCAATTCACTTTAGAGTATATTCTGTGAAGCGCTTTGGGACGTCTAGAAGACGTGAAAAGCGCTATATCAAATGCAAGGATTATTATTATTATTATTATACCAAATATAAGATTTATTATTATTATTTTAAATTATTAGTATTACTCTCTCACTGTTGGGGCATGGTACACAACCTAGTTAACTAATACCCTGAGGTTTTCTTTAACTTTAAATTTGCTCACTCAATCCACGACTGTTAAATAAATAAAATTCTATAAAGCCTGTACCAAGAAGAGAGGCAAAAGATTTTCAGTTTATACTATACAATACTATGATTATGGTTGCATAAGACAAGATTTTAAAATAAGTTGAATTGATATCTTTAGTTTGCCATTTAATATGAAATTGTGAGCATTCAGTGGGTCCCACTTAAATTCACCTCACCAGGCAAAATTCTGTTCAATATCCCATATTCAAACCCATTTCCACCCATTATGGGTATAAACTACAACAGCATATAATTGTTGCAACGTTTCCTGATGCAATGGTAGGAGATACGCAAAGCTCCCTGTTAACTTTTTTCCAACTCCAATTATTATTTTGCAATCAGTCTTACCAGTGTGCTAGATTGCTCAATGTGCTGACATCGACTCATTCCCAAAAGATGCTGGCTTTGTGAGAGAGAAAATTTCAATTGCCAACAGCAAAGACCAGCAATATAATTACTTAACCCCTGACTTACTGAAAGAGATTCTGCTGTTTAAATTGGGGCACTTTTTTAGCAGATGACAATCTGAAAAATGTTTAAAACATAGGCTTCACTCCATAAATGGCATAATTGGTGAAGGCAGAAAAAATTTATACAGACAAGAAGGATCCAAGTTTGAATCCTGCTTCTTCTCTGTGCTTAGTTAGCTGACACAACATTTTGGGTGCTACAGTTAGTCACAAAGTGCCTCACAGGATTTACTAATATAGTGATTGTGTTTCTTGGGAGCAAATATGGCAGCAAATCTACATGCAGCAATTGTATTAGAAAGGAAAAACAGTACTCAGGGTTCTAGATATAGGGGAGAAATTCCACCCAGATATAGACTTAGACTTTTTTCTTAGCATTTTAGACTATTCAAATTTTGGACAATTCTTCAATGCAGTGTTTTCCCAGTTGCTTTTCTGAAGGTTCAAATTTCATACATTTTATCATGCTCAGAAATGTTGAAGTCTGGATCCAGATGGATTTTCTCTCCTCAGATTTAATTCATGAGAATGTAGTGTGGAGGTTAGGAGGGATGGGGATTGGGCTTGTTTGAGATGTCCTCTCCTGATGAATAGCCTGCTAACACTCACTGTCAGCTCACAGGATAAGAACATCCCACTGATCTAGTCACAATGCTACCTGCTCCATGCCATAATCCATCCATCAGAGGGCAGGTTTTCAGCCGTCTTTCAACTAATTTCCTCCCATCTTCCTCTTGTTCATGGCACATCTCAAAATATAACTCTTTGACTGCACTTTCTATTAATATAATAATAATAATCCTTGCATTTGATATGATGCCTTATCATGTTTTCGAGATGTCTCAAACGCGCAACACAGAATATGCTGTAAAGTGAATTGACTGTATATTTTGTGCGCAAAAAGCGGAAGACAATTGCGCACAGAAGTGACTCACAAACAGTCATGGTTTGAGTGGCCAATTTTTTTTGTTATTAATACCCCCAGAACTCTAGCTTGTGAGGCGAGTGCTCTTGCCACTAAGCTACAGGACTCCTTTCTTTCTTCTCCCTACTCCCATTGGTTCCCACACCTTTCACTGATGCCCATCCAGCACTGATAGACACTTATAAGTGTGTGCCTGATTTGAAAATTGTTACATAAATGTATATTGGATTGTAAGAATAGACATTTTGATGTTATAATGGACGGTGCATTGCTCCCAGCATAAAGGAAAAATGAGTCAAACACCTTCAGGAGAGGAGGATGAAAACTGGAGAAGAAAAATTGGTAAGGATTTTCAAAAACTCATAGATTTCATTAGTTTCTAATTGCACATCAGAAAACAATAATGGCTTGGCTGTGGGAAAATTCTTTAAATATCACGAGATTGAATGTATCATAGTTTAATTTGTAGCAAGACATTTCTATATCTGTTTTCGTATATTGCACTGTCCTGGAAAGATCCATTAAGATGAGACCCTGCTTGAACAAGCATTCCTTACTGCCCTTCTTATAAATACTGCATAAAAACATTTAATAAATGGTATATGATATTTTGCATTTATCAAAATTTATTAATGAAGATCTTTATTTTTAAATGTTAAAAAGTAACATTTAGTATAGCACACCCTCGTTTATGAATAACGAATTTTACGAGTTCCTCCTTGTGCCCTGAGGCAGATGCTACACAGCCCAAAAAGTAAAATCCTCAGTTATTATTGTGTCAGTTTAGAGCATTGATTGCAAGGAGTTACTCACCAGTCTGCTATATCGAAACAACAAACATACTCAGAAATCTAAGCAATTCTAAAAAGCTCACAGAGGAAACATTAACCTATCTTGCTTTGATACTGATTGAATTGTTGTTTATTTCCAACATTTTCTGGTTTTGTTCCATATTTTGAGAATTTGGCATTTTTCTTTTAATCTCTTATAATAATAAATCGTGTATTTGATATAGTTCCTTATATTGAGATTCCATTGAGATGTCTCAAAGCTCTTCACAGAATATCCTGTAAAGTCAAAAAGTCGTAGATTGAGTGGCCAATTTTTTTTAAAAAGAGATTATTACCCCCAGAAAGCGATTCACCAATAGGATTACTCTGAGGAAAAAGGGCCTCAACACTCAACCTCTTCCTGGTATCAAACTCCCTCAGGAAGCAGGATTTTCTTGAAGGTCTCCCTCCCCCACCCCACAATGCCAGTCCTTATTAAGCAAAGAAATAAGACAAGAACATCTCAACCAGCTCCTCTTGCTTGCTCCTCTTACGTTATATAACAGAACATTATCCTTTGGAACATAGCTCAGGGCTGCCTCAATGAGGGACATTATGCTTAAGACTTGCTTCAAAATTGCTATAATGATCACATTAATTTTCCCAAGTACATTTGTCAAGATCCATTATTTTCTCCAGCAAAAGGATATTATCTAATTTAAAACAACTTTCACTTATACATTGTCTTTCATGTATAGTGAACATTTAAAGCGCTTTACAAGGGGACATGGGAATCACTGAGCAGGGACGAACTGATTGGGAGCTTAAGAAAATTGACCAAAGGAACAACAGAAAAGAAATTCTACCCTGGTCTAGATTTACTATATTAACATAGCATTTCAGTGCATCCAGCAGTTGTCAAATTCTTAAATACAGTTCTTAATTTTGAAACCAGAACTTTTTTTTAAGAACTACAGAAAATGGCTTCAAAGCTTAAATTGAATTCAGCAATTTGCTAAATTCTGCACACTCTGAAATGTTTCGGTCATTACACTTTAAATTAAAATACTTTGAGACATCCTACCAATGTGAAAGGCGTTATATCAAATTTAAGGATTATTATTATGTTATATTAACAGAATAAATTTAGACCTGGGTGGAAATTTTCACCAAAGAGTTTTTTTAAAAAAAATAGTGTTTTGAAAGCAGGTAGAGGTAATGCAAAGTAAAAGAATTTTGGAAAAGAGTCTGAGGGCTCAGTGGATGAAGGCTGATGATGGGATAGAAGGACCAATAAGCAGAAGGACAAAGGCAGAGCAACAGAGGGTACAGACGTCAGAGCTAGAGGAGATGCAGAGGTAAAGTGGGGCAAGTCTTGAAGGGATTTATATGTCAGGTA